GAATACAACTCAACTATTAAAAAAATTGGGAGCCAGCTAAGTAGCTCAGCGGATTAAAGTACCTGCAAGCAGGCACAGGGGCAGAGGGGTTCGATCCCTGGGCCTGCCGTGCTGGTCCTGCCCCTAGGGCACACTGAGACAGCAATTGAGACTGGGCGTGGTGGCGCATGCCTGTAATTCCAGCCCTTGGGAGGTTGTAAATGGGTGGATCACTTTGAGTCCAAGCTAGTAGTGAGACCCTGAATACCCCGTAAATCCTTCCCTAAAATAAAATAAAAAAAAAAGTTACTGAAAATATTTGAATTAATTCTTTCATAGTGCAATTCAAGTTCTATACAGATTCATTCAAATTTTTATAATATCTTTGGCTATCTGTAATACCTATATGGTCTTAGTAAAATGTATTGTTTGAAATGGAAGCATCACTTGCTAAATAAGTCCAAAAATGGGAAACACTCAGAAATGCTATTTTTCTCTGGTTTTTGTCTCAAGGGGACTCATGTTCCATTTGTTTTGAATTCTGTTATTCCTGTATGTATGATACCAGGATTTCCTCACTGCATTCCCTCTGCTTTCCTTAAAAAAGTTTTCATTGCATCTGTGTGCCAGATCTTCTTGGTTGATCCTTGAAAGTTTCACCTTTCAAAGCAATTTTGTTTCAGATGTGTCTTTTCCAATTAACATCAAGTTATGTATCTTTGCACTTTTTATTGAAGTAAAAGAATCTACACAAAAGGCACATAAGTGCTAGAGCCCCACAGTCTAGAAGGAATATCCCCATAACCCACCATCCCCAATCCGTCTTCTTTTAATTTCTTCCTTGCCACATGCACTATTATACTGACTATTTGCATGATGATATCAATATGTTTAATCAGTTGGTCTAATCTTATACAATGATCCATTAAATCGTAAAGTAATTTCTGTGTGCATATTTTTCCTTCAAAACTTTCTGCGTTAGGTGCCCCATGTCGTGGCAATGATGCGGTAGTTTTCAATTTTCATTGTTGGTTGATGCCTTGGAGTCAGTTTATCACTATACAATCTGCTGTTTCTTAACAGGTAATTTTGTTTGGCGTTAAAAAGGCTGTTTCGATTAAAATGATAGTACAGGTATTTTGGTGCAAATACTCATGTTTCCCATGCATATTGCAATGTACTAAGCAATGGCCTCATTCTCTTACTAGTATTTGTAATAATACAAGCTAGATTAGTGGAAAGATTACTGCATTTTGCAAATTGACTTTGTAAATTTATTAGCCAACCAGTAGTATATGATACTTATATTTAATATTCTCAGCAATTATTGACTATTCAATCTTCCTTTTGTTTCATTACATTTTGATAATATGTAGTAGTATCGCCCCATTTAAACAAGCAATTCACTGATTTCTAATGAGACTGACCATTTTTATTTTTCATGTATGTGCTAAGCATTTCATTTTCATCACTGAGACGTGGTTGTTTGTGTGTTTTTCTCATGTATATATAACATCTCATTTCTTTTTAGTATTATGTTAAACTTTTTGGGTAGGAATAAGTCTTTTGACAGATACATGTATTTGTATCACATATAATTTTCAAATTCTATAACTTACATTTATGTTTTCTAAATATCTTTTCAGTACATAGGAGTCAGTGATTTAATTTATCACTTTAATGTTTTTTTTTTTTTCTGCTCTGTTTAAGGAATCTTTTAATTTCCCAACTGTAGAAGTCGTTTTACCCTCTAGTCTAAGCTTTAGATGCCGTATTATGTATTGTGGGGTGTTTGCTTGCTTTCCTTTGTATAACATTAAAGATTAAGTCAAACCACATCAAATCCAGCAACTATAAGGAAAGTCTTATGTTTTTAGCCCCTGCAGGCATTCTACAAAACAAGAGAAATCCCCGGGTAGGTGGCAGAGTATCCCAGCAACAAGAGTGACCTCTCAAACACCTGACAGACCAAAATGGGGAAAGAGATATTGCATTAAAAGGAAAGGTGATGAAAAGGTTACTGCGTTACTATATTAATCTAGAAGATATGTTAAAAATAGTGAAATCCGAAAAAAAATGACCAATGAAGATATGAAAGATGTAAAAACAGCATGGCTGGATGTTTAAAACTTTGGAAGGCATAGCTGGCAGAGGTTATTTCAAATATGCTAAAGAGGTGACTAAGTGTTAGGACCTGAGAATGAAGACACAACAAAGAGATGCTCTCTAGAAAGAGGGTTTAGTTAACTGCTTTGGTTTGAATTGTTGGTGGGATTCTGTACGGAGAACTATGATTACCTGGATATACAATGTCGAAGCTGGGAGAAAACCAAGACTAGAGAAACAAGTCAGGAACTTACTGGTGGATGGTCCTGGTGCTTAGCTGGATGAAGGGGCGCATGCCTATACTGGTAGCTAGAAATGAGGCTGAGTAGGGAGAGAAAGGATGAAGATACGAGAGAAATTGTGGAAACAGGCTCAAAAAGAAGGGGCTGGCGGGCCAGCCGGACGGCTCCGCGGACTAAAGCGCATGCTTAGGCAGGCGCAGGGGCCAGGATGCAATGCTCAGCGCGCGGTGCCGGCCCCACCCCGGGGTGCCCTGAGACGGCGACAGAACGCAGGTGTGGGCTCGTGCACCTGCAATCCCAGCGCTCGAGAGGCTGAGGACAGGAGGATCATTACAAGTCCGATCTGTGTAGTGTATTAATACAGGCCTGTAGGCCCTGTATTAAATACATAAAAGTTTTTTTTTTTTTTAAAGGAGGAATGGTAATATAACTGCGACACCCGGGGTTCAGTTGGTACTATAAAAATATTGGTACCTGAGGAATTCTATGAGAAATGATTCAAGATTTGAAATCTAGTACATTAAGGTACCAGACAGATGTATTTTTACATAAGTCCAAATAGAACAAGAGTAAATATGTGAAAAATGTACCTTGAAAAGGGTAAATTTTTGTAGCAATAATAGAATTGAAGCTGCTTGTGTACTTTGACGTATATGAGGAATAAATTGGTTCTTCAAAAATTGGTTTGGTAAGGACTGCGGCAAGAGGGCTTGGGAGAGATGAGGAAGTTCTATCTCAAGCTCTGTTGCACAACTGGATAGCTATACTCTGCAATGATTATTGTTTTATGATAATTCCAGGAGAAGATTTCTGAGGTTCTCAGCATGTAAACAATAGTTGAACTGAAAAATGTGAATTTTTTTCCTATTTAACCATTACACATTGCGCACATATGCAACACGTATGTACTGTAACATACTCCATAAATAATTACAAACTTATGTAAATTGAAAACTAAATAAGATTAACAAAAATAGAGGGACATAGAATGATAAATATGAAAACTATATCAGATAATAAAAGTGAAAAAAGATAGTGTTTTGATAAATCATAGAAGCATGGAAAAATCACAAAACCACATCATAATACATTTCATTCTTAAGATCTTAAGTTATACAGGTCTTGCTTTAACTTAGTCTTAACCATCCAGCAGAAAAGTGTAACCACAAGGTATAAAACGTGAAGCCATATTAATACGCTGAGCTCTAAAAGGCTCAAGTCCACAACTTCGGACAACTGCCAGTTGTGCTGGTAACTCACTCTATTATGGACTGCTGGACTATATTGGGTTATTTGGCTGAATTCAGGTAGCTACAGTCTTTGGACTGGCATTAAGTACAAAAAGACCCTTTAAAGACTTCTCCAAAGACAGTTTCTCTAACAGCAATGGAACACTCCTCTCTGACAGAACAAAACAAAAAAGGGGGATATAAATAAAGGACAATTTTGTAGAGAAAACAAATATATATATATATATATATATATATATGCAAGATAGTTAAGATAGATATACAGCTACTTTTTCTTAGTTCAATGAGAAGAAAGGTTTGTACTAATAATGTTTAGACAAGATTTCATGTTTAGATCTTGTCCTCTGAATAACTACTACTAAGACAACAATATGCAATGTATTATTTTAACTATCCTACTCACCTGTTTTTGAAAGTTTCATTTGTATTTTATCTTTTTTCTCATTAAAATGAATAAAAATCTGTAAAAATTTAAACGCTATAAAATCCATATCTATTCAAAAAAAATTATCTTAAGCCCGAAGGATTAATTGACCAATCCCAAGATCTATTATAGTTATTTGGCACTTTAAAAATTCTGTCATGTGTCTTGGCTTCAAAATATGAAGAAACAGCCTCTGCCGTGAGAAATAAAATGGTGGGTCATGTGACACTAGATGTTCTCTTTAGAAAGAAGTGTGTCTGTGCTTCTCGATCGATAGATAATATCATCAGTTTTGGTGCTGTAGAGGGTTCTACCTTTTAAGGAACTTCTAGGGATGATTCTCAAATGCTAAGCATAGCTATAGTAATGTGACTTTTTTACAGTAAGGAAATGAAAAGAAAACTAGTGCTGTAACTGTGAATTGTATTGGTGTGAGCGTATAAGAAATAATTTTCAAATGTTTGTAAAGATAAAAGAAGGAGGACATTGAAAGACAATAATTTCAAAAATATTGTACAACTGGAATGCTGACAAATAGTCATAAAATAAGCAATTGTCTTTGAAATGCACACAGAAACATATGTGTAGTTGGAAGCAGGCTAAAAGGTGGTAATGGCTGGTAATTGTAAATACATTGAAAGGTAACATTTTGGAACTTCCATTTCACCTTTCTCTAAGAGTCACTTGATTATGTAACTTATCACAGATTTTCTTTTAAATGAATGCAATAATTAATAAGTGTAACAGTGATGGTATATTTTGTTATGTCTGGACACTGTTAGATGATTTACATAGATTTTTTAAGTCTTTAGTTCAATAAATTATTATATTTATTTAATATTTAGAGAGATGAATTCAAAAGGCAAACTAAGTGGGTGGGATTCAAATTGTGAGTTTATTAAAAATCCTGTTTTCTCGAGTCATGACAGTATGCAATTTAAGAAAACTAAGAGCCTAACAAGGACGTCTTCTGAACTTCCTTCACTATTTTGTTAACAGGTATTATTTCTTCAAGAGGAGAAAAACAACCCTCTTGGAAATTAAAGCAAAAATAGGATAACTTCAAATGGCTACTCTTCCCACTTCAACCTCATCTGGGCCTCAGTCTTGAGTCAATTACAATTTTGGGGAATTAACGGTGAAGTTACAAGATACAAGGTTGAAACTACTAGATAGTATTTATTTACTCACCCATTGTCCATGGAATCTAACCTCTAATCACTACTAAAACATCTCCACATGAAAACTGCTTCAAAAAGACCTCTCTGTCAGCATACCATGGTGCCACCTGCATATCTTGATCAACACTTTCTGCCATTAAACCGCTCTTACGACCTGGCCACAACCAACTCATTAACACATCAGTACAGTGCTACAAAACGTAGTCAACTCAATGGCCAACCTGTGGCCAAAGTACAATCCTATAGCAATAACCTTGCAGCACCTTCAATAGACTACAACCGGGCAACCCAGAGCTGTTCAGTGTTGCCTTCTCCTAAGTCTCCAGCAAAAAATTCACAGTGCTTCAATAATAAGGCTAAAAAGTCACAATTATCCCTCTCCAAAGGCCCTGGCACTCTTTCACTAGACCACTGGAAAAATCCATTTCATCCTGCTGGGAAAGCCTTGAGCTCCCCCTTATCACACCCTAAGCCTCAGATAACATCTTCATCTGACCTTACTAAGACATCATCATCACTGGAACCAAGTCAAACACACTCGAGCTCACAGCTACCTCTCCCTGAACCTCAGACTACATCTTCCAGCCTGGACTTTCACTGCACATCACCACTGCTAAAGTCTAACCAAAAAGTTTCACATTCATCTTTATCTAATCTCCAACCTCAAGAAACATCTCTGCTTGATATCTTGTGGGTCTCTTCTTTGAGACCCAAGCAGAAAGTAAATAGGTCCGCGTTACTTGAATCCAAACCTCAGAAAACATCTATATTGGATGGTTTGTGGACATCTTTATTGGTACACAATCAAAGATCACTGAGCTCGCCATCACTCAGTACCAAAGCTCAAACAAACAACTCTCTTCAGACACCACATTCTTTGGAGTTCCATCAGACAGCTCTAAATTCACCACTAGAGGATTCTGGGCTTCAAAGAAAGTCTATCTTGACCTCTAAAGCAAGTGCTCTGAGTTTACCATTATCCTCTGTGAAATCAAGGGAATCACCTGCATTGCACTCTGCCCATCAATCTCAGAGTTTATCGGTGTTCCAGCCCAAATCTCAAGCAGTGCTTGCACTTGATCATCACTTCCAGTCTCTCAGCTCACCCAGATGTCACTCCATGTTTCAGAGTACTGCTTCACCAAGTGACAAAAGCAGAGCCACAGAACAGCCACCGTCTCATCTCAAACCGAATGCTCCAGCACAGGCATCCTCAAGCACCAAACACTGCCTGAAGAAGAGTGCAGCTGCCTCCACACGGGCCTCGAGACCCCAGAGTAAGGGCAGCCTTGATTTTAGTGCAAAGATAGAATCAGATAAAGAAATTCCATGGACATTACGTTATGGTCATCCCTGCATTGTGAAAGGCGGGACTATCCCTGACCGTGTTGTAAACAAAATCATCAATTCTCTCTCCAAGACCAGAATCCAAAGGGATCTCTCTAGACAGATTCTCTTCCGAAGAATGAGAGGAAGGCCAAATCCTCATCCTGGCCCTCGCATTTCATCAACATACACAGTTTGTTTAACGTGTGCTTCCTGCATAAAATCTCCATGTAACCATTTGAAAGGAAAGAGAGACCCTCACTGTGGAAGACTATTTGTCATACCAACACCTGAGGCCAATTCTGAGGGCAAAATACAAGTGAAATTACTTTTTCTCCTTACTTTACCAGAGACTTATTCTTCTCCTTTTCTCCCACCCCTCTCTATAAGAGGAAGCCAGCCTGAAGATGCTCTAATTGATAACCTGGAAGAAATGGAGAAGACATCACAACTTTTCTCTACATCTGAATCTGATACCTCCCAGGAACTCAGAGTGAAAAAAAGGTCATTGACAGTGTCCAGTAAGAGCAAAGTTGTGAGCCAAAAGGAGCAAATTGTAGACTGGCTGCTTTATGTTAAAAATAATGACAGCTTTCACTCACCATCCCAGATCCCACCTCCTCCTTCCTCCTGCTCCTCTTCCCCCTCTTCTGTTTCCACTGCCACCCATTCACCAACGTCTTCCTCTTCTTCCTCTTCTGCCTCACCCTCTGAACCCTTTCTATCCAGAGACACTGCACCCTATCTGCTCTCAAACTCTGTAGTCACCAACCTACTTAGCCACCACAGATTGCCGCCAGGGGTCTCCTGGCTTGAGTTCATATGTAGCAAGGATTACCAGCCTCTTTCTGGAAAACCAAGTAAAAAGCAATCACCGCATCCCAAAACACCACCTGTGAGGAATGCCAACACAGTGTGAGAGAGGAAGGGACCAATCATATTGCACAAATTTTTCCAAGCACAATTTCAAAAATGAGAAACTCTGATTAAATTAACTTCCAGTGTCTTCTTAGTTCTTTGAGACTAGTGTTTGATTTCCTGTCATGCTTTATAATGTCCTTAGTACAATTTGCACTTCCATATTTTGGCTGATGAAATACCTACTTAAGGAGAACTATTGCTTTTAATTTGATTTGCTAGTTACATAATAGATTGATCTAGGAGTTAAAATATGACTCATGTTTTTAACTGTCTATCTTAAAGTACCCATTGTATAATTATTGTCACGTGAATTTGTAGTATTTAGACAAAAGCCTTATTCATCTACTCTGTGTAGCAGTGAGTTTCACTGTTACTATCCTCCTCCGTAAGATCAGATAGTAATGACGTTCTAAACCCACTTTAGTAATCTTTTTTTTTGTTGCAAAAGAAAATCCAGCTCATATACAATAGGTGAGAATATATATGAAAAAGATCTTTCTCATTATATAGTCTTAGAAAAATTATTCTATGTCAGCAATACATACTCTGAGATCTAATAATTGATTCAACCTTAGTTGAAAAATCTAAAGAGAGACAATCTAGTACAAATAGCACTACTTCACTCTGAGATAACACTACAGTTATGGGCTCTGAAGTCACCTAACCATCACTTCTATGTATGCGATCAAATAGGTCAATAAGAAAGGTATTTAAGAAATGATTTTGCTGCCCTGACGGTGTTAGTGGCAGGAAGTGAAGCAGTTTCCTTACTTATTCATCTTAAGTGACCATCTCCATTACTAAGGACCAAAACCAACACTTGTCCTAAGTGACTTTTCTCTTTGCTAGGATGAAGCACCCAGAATCCACAAGTGAAAAGAGAGGTGTATTTCACTTCACAGTTGGTGGAGGATCCAGTTCCACTCAGCTGGGTCCAAGGCAGGGTGATATGGCACAAGCATGTCACTGCAGAGGAGAAGCCTTGCCTACCACTGCAGGGTAGGCAGGAAGCAGTTAAGCAGCATGCAGAAAGGTAGACCTTCTTTCTGTCCTTTTATATTCCATCCAAGCTACTAGCCTATTGGTTGATAACTCTCACATCTGTGGTGAGGGGTTCCATTATCCACTACCAGAATTATGCTAAAGCAATTTCGTTACCATGTTCTTAATCCCAGTGGCACACCCCTAATCTAGCACCACATGCCTATGAACCAGCCACCTTCCAAAAGCCCCACCCCTGAGTGCATGCAGCTTTCTGGGGACCGCTGGGTGCGAGCCACAGCAACACTTCTCATTCTCTAATGACTTGTAATCTGGCTTCTCTACCTCAAATCTTTCTGATTACCACCATGCATAACTGAGCATTTCTAATTGGAACATGATATTGGTGTCTCTAACTCAACATGAATCAGCCATAATTCATCTCATTAGTTTTGGATTTAACTCTTTTATCAGTAGGACCCTTGGACTCCTGCATTTTAGGTTACAGGCATATATCACCATCTACTAAGATGTCTTGTTTGGCTTTTTAAAATCCTGTTTCCTCTTCAAGCCCATGAGTTCTATGGCTTTATTAGTTCTAGAGTCCTAACATTTTTTCCTCCCCCACTGTTGCTCTCCTCATGATCATAGCCATTTGTATCAGTCAGCATTCACTAGATGAATATATTTAATATAAGATATACATATGATATATAAATATACTAATATAAGATCTATATCTTATATTTAATGAGATATACAAATGTATACCAATATAAGATATGATATGTAAATATATATTTACATATGATACATATAAGAATTCATAAGGTAGGCTTACAATGGCTGCATACAGAGCTAGGATGGAAACAATGCGAAACAACCACTTGTGTACTGAGACCCAGGGGATCCAGCTGAAAGTCAAAGGCCTAAAGTGCACTGCAGATTACTGTTCAAGTCTGTGTCAGGAAGGCAGAGGGTCTCCACTGAAAGGCTGACGGGTCTGCGCTGGAAGCTTGGAGACAGAAGTTCTAAGGCAGTGATGAAGACTGGAGCTGCTTCAAAGACACAGAAGCAAGACTTTCTTTTCCTTTCCCTTTTTATTCCATCCAGGTTATAAGCCTATTGGTTGGTGACACATTGAGGGTGGGGCCTTCCTCTTCAGGAAGTCATTCATTCAGTATACACAGAATTATGCTAAGCCAATCAGCTGAGCATTGCCTGCTCAAATTGCCACGTTAGGTAACTATCACACCATTTTTCATCTGGATTATGGTAGTAATGTGCACACATGCACTTTTTTTTTTTTTTTTTCAGAACTGGGGATTAAACTCAGGCCCTTGCGCTTGCTGGAGAACGGATTATTCCACTGAGCCATCTCCCCGGCCCCTGACAGATGCTCTTTTACCTTGAATAATGTATCTCTGAGGTATAAATGTGCTAAGAGTCATTCAGTTGCTTATCATGCCGTGCGATTCTTGTCCATGATTTTCCAGACAGTCTAAATTTCTTTCACAGAGGAAGTATAACATCTTGAAAGCATTTTCTCACTCTTCCCAGTCTTGTAACGAATACTACAGCCACACTTGCTTCTTTATAATATAGAGAGTGCGAACGCTTCATTTATATCTCTTACATTTGAAATCAATGATCTGTCGGTCTAGAAAGATCTTCCCTTGTATACATTTTTATCCTCCAAAGCTCTGTCTTGTACTGTCATCTCCTGGGAAACATTTCTCTTGCTGTAATTATAAGGATTATTTGGCTTTCCTCTTACCATAAAACTCTGCATTAATTCATTGTACTGATCCTAACCACATTATGATATTATCATTTCTTCTCTGTTCTGACTCACTAGACAAGCATTTTATCCCTGTTTTTCTTTTAAATTATACTTGGAATAAAGTAAGTACTATAGAGTCTGGGTTGATATTGAATTAATTTCATTAAAAACTCCTCTGATTAAAACAGTATCTCATTGGTCTCCACATTTCCCACATATTTGATGCTAAATCATTCTTTGTGTCTTTTATCTTGGGAAGAATTTATGTAATAAATATTACTGTTGACAGCAGTCATTCTTGCTTTATTTCTTCTGCTGAAAGAATTTCTAGTATTGAGTATGTTGGTTGAAGTACAGCTGGTTAGTGATGATGAAAACGAACCACTACCCGCGACAACGTGCTCACCAGCTTTCTGCAACCTGTTTAGATATTGTTTGCTATGTACTCTGTTCATCTTAACATCCAGTAATGTCATCACTTTTGCAATTACTTGCTTGCTATCTTCCCTGCCAAACTCCATGTCATGAGCAGAGCTCCTATGTCCATTTTTTGGACAGATTTCTTAGAAACTAGAAGTAACTGGAACATACAAGCATTCAATAAGAATTCAACTGATTGTTATTTATTAATGTGACTTACATATTAAATTTCATCTTTGCTTTGCTTTCTATTCTTTATGTTTCTTTGTAGTGTCTTTCCTTTAATTTTAAAACATGGCTTGTTTCTTTTAACTTCTTTAATGTATTGGACATTGTCAATACTCTCATTTCAACAGAGTTTACTTTTAAGACTCTTTTCCCAAAGAATTCTTTTCTTTCTAGCTTTTGAGTTTTTAACTCTTAAATAAAACAACATAATAAATATGACATTATCTACATGTGCAACACATATTCAATTTTCTTCTAGTTTAAACTGACAGATTAATAGAACTCTAAAACAGAGAACATATTATCTATATTGTGTTTTAATATAATTATTTAGTAGTAATAGCCATCTGCATGTAACATTTAGATGTTACTTACAGTCATTCAGCCTGTTGCATATATATGAAAGATTATGTACAATCAATATATGTATGAACTTATTTGGTACTTACTAAAATTTATTTTAAATAAATTATTGTGACTGTAAAATTTTATAAACATGTAATTATTTTCTTATAAACAAAAACTAAGACTTGTGAATCTCTCTAGTATTTTAACACTATATAACATTTATGGGAGCAGAACTCTGTACCATTGAGAAATAATCCACATGCATAGGATTGGCAATGTCAGAAGCCATTGACTTGAGCCTTTTACAGCTCAGCATATTAATGTGGCTTTACTTTTTATACCTTGTGGTTACACTTTTCTGCTGGATGGTTAAGACCAAGATAAAGCAAGACCTAGACAACGAGAATTGTAGCTTTTGGATCTGACAAGGTCAGTCAAATTCCCTCAGGATTTACCCTGAAACCCTGTACTGCAGTTTGTAGATTCTTTGTCAGTGTCAGCCATGTGGATGAGTCATGGTCATTGCTTGACCAATTTGCTATCTGTGAAAGCCTGGGAGAATGTTTTTTCACTAGTTGACTCTCTTTTGACACACTCTCCATCATCGATCGCATTCCTCTGTGGCCCCATAATCTCCTTGATCAGTGATAACCCACTACTATTATGTACTATGGGACTATATAGGATTAGTTTGCTGAATTCACTCATCTACAATATTTAAATGGCAATAGAACACCCATCTCTGACTAAACTAAACAAAAAAGAGGGATATAAATGAAGGACAATTTTGTAGTAAAATATATATGTCTATCTGTATGTATATATCTGTATATATATACATATATATATATATCTGTACATACAAAATAAGGTAGATACACAGCTACTTTCTCTTAACGAGAAGAAGATTTATAATAATAGTGTTTGGACAGCATACCATATCTGCATCTTGTACTATGAATAACTACTATGAAGACAACAATATGCAGTGTATTAATCATTGTAACTGTCCCACTAACCTGTTTGGAAACTGTCTCATTGCTATTTGTTTCTCAATAAAATTAATAAAAAGAAATAATCCACATGAATATCAGCCAACTCTGAGCACAAAATGGGATTGAAAAATATAGCTAAACCACTGTATTTAAATTTTGAATAGAAGCTTTTAGTGAGACAGCTGAGAAGAGGGGAAAAGATATGTTAAAATCTCATTCATGATTTAAGTGAAAATATCAGATCATAACAAAAAATCATATGCATTATATATATGATTCTTCCAAGCACAGAATT